GGCCGGCAGGCTGCGGAAGACCAAAAAAGCATTGTCTTCACCTGAGCTTGCCAGCAGCACTCTGAAAATCTGAGGCTTCAGTACATGTAGCACGTGGCCTGAATTGGCCGAGGTCAGACGACAACTATCTAAGGCGGGAAGTGGCGAGGATTCATATTCCGATACTCAACTTGTATCCACGACAAGTCTAGGCCTTCCCGAATCAAGCAGATTCCAACCTGCAACTGTAGAAAATGATCAATTAGACTCTAATTAGACTACAGCTATATGCAAATACAAAGATTTTTGGAGATCACGTATTGAAAGATGCAGAATCAAATGGAACAATGGTGGATGAGATGAAAGCTGGGATGATGTGGGGATTCAGGGGTGTTGGTAAGGATGCTACACTAGTCCCATCTGCAGTTCTAGTCTGTAGGACATAACCTGGCTATAGTTGGGTTTTCCGTACCTGGATTTTGGGTGTGGGGCTCATTGGGATTTAGGGCATGGGGTGTAGGGGTCCTACGCCCAAAACTGTAGTGTGCATGGCAGTGATAGCTTAGGATTTGTAGGGCTTACCGTCTAGGGGAGTCCATCTTCTCGGTGCTGGGCTTGGACAAACCGAAGTTGACTATTGGAAGGTTGCAGCCGAGACAACGCAGGCTCGATCTTCAATGCCCACATGAAGCAGTGCCACTTATCACACAACTGGGTGCGTCAAAGTCTCTGGTTACGTCACAAAGCTGTGTCAGGTCCTGAGTCTTAGCGAGATGCGGCTTCTCTTGATTGTGCAGCTACCTGCCACACTAGTTACAGGGTGCTTCGACAAACATGAAGGTTTGTAGAGTAAAATCACTTTAGCAATCATGAAGGAAGGGTGATTCAGCAGTGCAAACGAAGCGCTCGGAAGGACTACTTGCCTGACAGAAGAAACACCCCTGACTGTCTGTGGGCCTCTGGAGCCTTCTTGTAAAATGGCTGTGACAACTGCCGCACCAAAACCGAGGGCCGGCAACATGCCTTTAGCCTGCATAAGACAACTCTCTGCCTGCAAGATCTGCTGTTCTCCTGCGTGTGGGCAACTCTCAATGCTCCTTGAGGGCCCATGCTCCAGGCTTGGATGGCATTCTTGCTTCTCCAATGTTCACGTATGCCATCTGCCTTTCGCTATAGCCAGCCCAGCATTCCGGGGCATTCCGTGCATCCAGACGCTTAAAAAAGTGACCCTTCCTGGCGCATAGGACAGCGTCCCTCTCTTCGTAGGTACTGAGATGTGCAGAAGCAACAGGAGGTGCGTGAACAAGGTGGTCTTGCGACGGTACTCTGCAAGCCTGCTCTTAAGGAAGCCACAAGGCCTTAGTCGACACCTTCATGATAATCTGGAACAAAAAGCCCTTTAAAACACAAAACAGAAGTAACTGCCAAAGCTCCATGGATTTGGACCGCGCATTCCAGCAGCTGCCAGATGCCGGGCTCTTGGGGCTTGCCGGCGGGCTCCTGAAAGCTCACTGGAATCACTGGGAGGTTTGCTCCAACATCTGCCTCCAAGCCATTACAAAACGTGTGAAAGGGCAAGTCTCCCGGCGTGGAAGCCCGAAGGACTCGGAGGCCGGCTGCCCGAATTCCTGGTCGTCATGCTTGCCATGCTTGCTGTCGTCTAGCAGATTGGCACATGACAAGGCAACTAGGGGCAGAAAACTGTGGCTGCAAGGCATCCGTCCAAGCCGAGAAACGCTTCTGCAGCCAATGAGGCTCCACGCGATGCCGCCGTGGACATCTGAGATGCTTGCTTCACACTCAATTGCAAAGCATGATTACACGATGTCAGAAGCATACCTGCTACGGCCAAACATGCTACATCACGCATAGCTGCCTGCAGCGGATGCGAAAGATGCTGCTCAAAGAAGAGAGGGGACTGTTGTGAGGCGGAATTTTTTGATAGTTTAAAGAGTTGTGAGATGGATGAATGAGTAGTGTGTAGTGCGTATAACTAAATAATTTAAAGAGTTGTGAGATGGAAAATGAGTAGTGTGTAGTGCGTGTAACTAAAGCCC